TGTGAAATGCACAGCCCCAGACGTCTCTTCCTCAGCTGAGGTTTTCAACCAGCTTTGCTGCTTCAGTTGCTGGTTGACAGGCTGCCAGCCTTTTGTAACCATGGGAGAGCGGGTGCTGCACTCTCCCTCCCTCAGGGTGCTGGTTTGGGCACTGCAGAATCTGCTCTCTGGGGTCTTTGAGCTGATCAGGGGCAGAATGAACAGCGTTCAGATCACCAGCTCTTTGTACAGAGTCAGATCTGCCCAGGGTGGGGAAGGCTCTGACTTGGATCTGGATTTCATGATGTAACCAGAATCGCACAGCCTAAAGAATTGTATTACCGGGGTTAGAGTCCAGGCAGCAGCTAGGCAGGTTTAGGAAGCGAGGTGGGGGCAGGCTGGAACATAAATCGGAAGGGGTGTAGTGAGGAAAATATTTCCCATTCACTGCCTATTATTGAATGGCTTAAACACCAATGCAATTCCTAGTGATATCTGCAGTATTAAGAGCCCTGCAGCCAGAGGCCTGGTTCACCCCCAGACCGGCTACACAGTATGAACTTTCCTATCATGCCTGTTCCGTGACCCAAATGGGACCAATTCTCGGTCTGAGAAAGTCAGCCTGCGTGGCATTCAGGTCTTTCCTTGCCTGTCAATGGAGGGACTGGTCAGTGGCAGATGGGGTGGTGTAGTTTGGGACGGGACGCCCTGCCCCATTACTAGTTGGAGGGACTGGTCAGTGGCAGATGGGGTGGTGTAGTTTGGGCCGGGACGCCCTGCCCCATTACTAGTTGGACTGAGACCCAAGGTGTCGGTTCTCAGCTGTATCAGTCACTGGCTGGGGAAATGACCAGATCGTCTAGTTCAGTTCCATGAACTTAATTTTGGGGCAAGGTTGGAATTTCTTCCTCTGAAGTTAGGACCCAGTTTGCGAGCCTTGCTCGCGCCGGTTGGGCTCCGTTTCTGTGAGGGCTAAAGGGGGAGGAAGGCTGGGCTGAGGTGGGTGAGTAACATCTAGGCTAGGTGGCCTTGGAGAGCTATAGCTCGAGCTTGTGCTAGTGAAAATATCCTCATGGCCACCTTCCTTCAGTAGAGGGCACCGTGACCACGGGAGAGCTCCTGGCTCACATGGGCCCATACACAATGTAACGTGCCTGCTGCAGTGTGTGATGGATCTGGAGGTGAGCTCTTCCAAAGGCCTGAATGGCTGTCCTCATTGTACGGATCTACAGGATAGTGCGCTGTTCTCCAGCCAGGGGGATGAGTAGGAGTCGCTGTCTCAATCTGCCCCATCACAGGGTCTAAGTAGTGTCCCTTTGATCTTCCTTTAGGTTGCCTGGAGGCCTCCAGCGATTCCAACCTCAGCAGCGCCAGTGTCTTCAATGTAAGCAGGTAAAGTAATGGTCATTGCTTGAGAATGACGTGCATGGGTACAGGTCAGTGAGACCCCCCTCTCCCTTTTGTTGAGGCGGGGAGAGGCTTTGCAGGGACACGGGTGCAGGTGAGGATGGAGGGGCATTGTCGGGGCTGCAGGACCAATAGAGGTGGGCTGTCAGAGGGAGGCCTGGCCAGTGCCCGTTCCTTTGCTCTGACAGACTCCAAACTTCTCCTTTGGGGGCCACTATAGCAAGACACTTGGCCTTCTGGGAGCCTGGCATGCTCGAGGGAAGGGTGGGCGTTTGTGAGGCAGGAGCTCTCTGTAGGGGGTGAAGGAATCAGCACTTCACACACTCCAGGGGCAGAACCGTGACCCCACCTGTCCCAGCCTTCCCTGCTAGCACCTTCACTCCACCCAGCGTGAGACCCGACTGCTGAAAAGGGGAGGCTCCAGGCCCCATTCACGGAGACCTCCCAGAGGAGGGGAGAGGGCGAAGTAAGTTCAGCCGTAGCCCTGCCTGCTTGGCTGGGAGTAGGGAAGCCAAGGAGATCACTGGCCTATTGCAAGTCTAGTTAGCCCAGCTCCATCCAGGAGGTCCCCCAGCAATGGGTGTGCTCTAGAAACCTAGAGAGAGAGTGGGAATAGCGGCTGTACGTTTGTGCTGTGCACAGCTGGGGTGAAGTTACAGAAACTCTCCATGGGGTGCCCATTTGGACGTATTAACGGTCAGCTCCATACTGTCCCACCTTGGTTACGCATGCACAGCTTAAAGGAAGGCTTCGTTCTACGCTTGGGTAAGACTGCAATACCACCAGCCCACCACAGAGTGTCACTGTAACTCAGGTGTTAATATGCCCTTGCACTAGTTTAAAGGCACACAATCTAACTGCAGTCGCATCTCATGGGTTACTGTACCTGCCGGAGTCCCCTTGTTAGTGTTTGTGCCTTTACAGTCCTAGGCCCTTAGTCAGTAGACACTTACACCTGTGCTTGACCGTAAGTGCAGCAACAGTCTCCATAAAGTCACTGGTGACTTGTCACCTGCTTTAAGTGAAGTATGTGTCAGTGCGTGCAGCTCTGGGCCATATCTTCTCCCCTGTGTGTAACACAGCCTGGAAACTCACTAGCCAATGGGCTATCAAATGCACCAGGTTAATGATGATAACCTTACACTGCTGCGTGTTAACTACTCCCCAGTGGGCCAGTCCTGGAGTGTCCCGTCCCGTCCCCCAGTGCACCACTGCCTTCCTTGGGAGCGGCAGGTATCTCTCCTGGAGAAGGGAATACCATCCCAGATTTCATGTGCTGATCTGCAATGGGTCCCCCGTCATTACTGGCGTGACGGGGGACCCAAAGACCCTGCCCGATATCAGAACCCTTTTGTGCTAGGTGCTGTACAAACGTGGTAAGCGAGTCCCTGCTCTGAAGCGTTTACAACCAAAGGCGACAAAGAAGGTGGGCAGGAGGGGGAAAAGCATAGCGAGGTTAAGTGACTTGTTCCAAGGTCATCCTATGTAGCTGAAATCGACATACTTAGATCGACTTACCGTGATGTCTTCACTGCGGTGAGTCGACTGCTGCCGCTTCCCCGTTGCCTTTCGCGGCGGTGGAGTACAGGAGTCGACGAGAGAGCGCTCGAGGATCAATTTATCGCGTCTAGACTAGACACGATAAATTGTCCCCCGCTGGATTGATCGCTCCCGCCGATCCGGTGGGTAGTGTAGACATACGCTGAGTTTCCAGTATGATCTCGAGCCACTAGTCCGGGGTGGGCAAACTACAGTCCTCAGGCCACATCCAGCCCGCCAGCCGATTTAATCTGGTCCTCGAGCTCCCGCTGGGGAACGGGGTTGGGGACCGCTCCGTGCGTGCATGCCATAGTTCCCGGAAGCAGTGGCATGTCCCCCCTCTGGCTCCTACGGTTAGGGGCAGCCAGAGGGCTCTGGGGCTGTCCCCGCCCCAAGCGCTGCCCCCGCAGCTCCCATTGGCCAGGAACTGTGGCCAATGGAAGCTGCAGGGGCGGCACCTGCGGATGGACAGTGTGCAGAGCCGCCCGGCCACGCCTCCAGGTAGGAGCCAGTGGGGGGACATGCCACTGCTTCCGGGAGCTGCTTGAGGTAAGCGCCGCCTGAACCCCTGACCCCTTCCCATGCCCCAACATCCTGGCCCAGCCCTGATCCTCCTCCTGCACCCTTGGTCCCAGCCTTGAGCACTCTCCTACACCCCAAATACCTCAGCCCAAGCTCCACCTCACAGCCTGCACCCCTAGCAGGAGCCCTGACAACCCCCCCCCCCCCCCCACCCCCCCACCCCAACCCGGACCCCCCCCCCTGCACCCTGAACTCCTCATTTCTGACCCCACCCCTGAGTCTGCACCCCCAACCAGAGCCCTCACCCCCCCTGCAACCCAACCCCAATTCCGTGAGCATTCATGGCCTGCCATACAATTTCCATACCCAGATGTTGCCCTTGGGCCAAAAAGTTTGCCCACCCCTGCACTAGACCACTAAACGGTGTCCCTTTAATAGTGCAGTGAATTGTTTATACCTGAGCTGTTGCTGATGCAAGTTTCATCCTTGGACTTTACACTTAAGATGTTAAATAGAATTTGTTTAATGGCGTGTCACTTCAAAGCCCACTCGAGCAGAGCAGCCACTGCTGATGCTGTCAGTCTGCAAAGCTGATTTCTCAGCAGAGGCGTAGCGAGCGCCCTCCGTACCCTCCGACTGGAGGGGGCCCCGCAAGGAAGGGGGCCCCTAAAAGTGGCAAAATAAATACCGCATTCCAGTTTCTGCATTGTAAGGGGCCCCACCCGGACATATGTTCAGAGGGGGCCACCGTTCGGAGGGGGCCACGTTCTTTGTTGCTACGGCCCTGTTTCTCATGAGCTTTTCTTTGAAATAGCTAGTGCGGGTGGTGTGTTGTGACACTGGAAATGAGCCCCTCTGGCCGCAGGGCAAGTCTTCCCCACACCCTGCCATTGCACCCAGTCCACATTGGTCCATTTTTGTACCAAAGACCTTTGTCAACTAGGAAACAGACTGAGTCAGCTGCTGGATGTGAACTGCTGTTGGTCGCTCTCCGTCTGGGTTGGAGACAAGCTGATGGTTGAGAGAGGAAAAGCTCCTTCAATACCGTGACCCATCCAGTCACACAAGTCAAGTGACGCATTGATGCTGATGGATCCGGAGCCTTAGCCCCCTACTCTGAAGTGCCTTGCAAAGGGATGCAGATCAGCTCAGGCAGATGGATGGGGTGATCTAACAGGTCTCCCCCATTCCTGACTTCTAGAATAGTGTAGCTGGATGTCTTTTTAAAATGCTGCCTAGGTTCTTATCCGGCCTTCAGTCTCCTCGTATCAGAGCGCCATCCAGTCGTGCATTAGGTGACGTGACTGTCACATGGGGCTTGCCCTTGCTGTCATCCTCTCCCCAGGGAGATTTGAGTGCACAGTGGCGTGTTTTGTTTTGGTAGGGTTTTGTTTGTTTTCAGATGTCCATGCTGCTCTTTGTTTGTCGAGAAGGCAGGTTGCATTGGAGTGCAAGGTGGGGAGGTTTCTGATGGTACTTAATTCCTGGTCCCTGGCTTGGACTGCGAGACAGGACTGCTGCCATCTGCCAGGAAGCACTGAGCTGGACTCTGCTCCCTCCTCATGCCAGCCCTGCTTGCGAGCAGTGACGTTAGCTCAGCAGAGCGCAAGGCAGTGTTGTACCTATCCGCGTTTGAGGCAATGTACCCGCTCGCTCTGCCAGAGGCTCAGTGACACTCGAACTGGTGCTGGCCTGAAATCCGCCTCCAATCCTTGCCATCTGATAGGAAGGGGAAGGAATCCAGGAACCCAGCGAGAGACGCCCTCAATACACCTCACTTCTTGGGGCAGATTTCCCCTGTCCATGGCCTCCGTGGAAGGAAGACGTGTAAAAAAAAAAAAAAAAAAAAAAAAAAAACCCTAAACAGGGACTGAGGTGAACTCCTTTCAGGGGGGGAGGGGGGCTTGTCTAATGTTGCTAGAGCCCTATGGGGGGGGGGTTAGAAAGGGAGGGGGGGGGGGGGGGGGGGGGCTGGGGGTTGTGTGACGTGTACAGAGAAGGGAGAGTGAAAAACATGAAGGTCTCAGCTCAAGGCAAGAAAGGAAGGGGAAAAGGTGATAGAAGAGAAGGGAAGAGGCTAAGCAAAGGAAACCCAGCAAGCTGCATACACAGTGCGTGTTCCTGTCGGTCACCGAGTGCCAGCTGAGGAGACCCGTTGGGAGAGTCAGCATTGCCCTCTGCCGGCTAATCCAGCCTGCACCCCCAGAGCACGAACACTTCCAGGGGCTTATTGGGAGCACCATGAGCGGCAACGGCTGAGGCTCTTCAAGCCATCTGTGAGGAGCAGATAGTGGCGAGGCTGCTCTTAGAAAAGCTGCTTTCAAAATGGCTTGAGACGGAATGAATCCGTGAAAGCTGTTTCCTTAAGCCCTACTCGGTTTGCGTCTTTTCGGCTTTAGTGGAAGGGCCTTTCAACTTGTGCTCTGGTGAGGAGTGTGTTGGGGGGGCTGAATTATGCAGGCTTTACTACTCCTGAAGTCAGTAGCCGCTTGGCTTTATACAGGGAAGTGAAGCTCAGCAGAAAGTAATGAGGCCCAGTTCTTACTGCCTGCTTCTGGGTATAGGCGCCCCTCCCGAAAAACAAAGTGAGAGGAAGAAAACAGACTCCTGACTCAATACCGGTGTTGCAGGCAGTGCCGTACTTTACCATCTGACCTTGGCTTCCACCGCGCCCCCCAGCTGCAGATGCTGAAAGTCCATAACTTTTTAGAAGTGGGCAAGGGTTGGGGGGAGCAGGTTAGAAAGGTTCCTTCTCCCCCTTTGTGGGTGTTGGTATCAGGATGGCAAATCAGCTGATGAGCTCCAAATTGGGTGTATCTACCGAAGGGCCACATGAGCGAGAGAGAGAATTGCTCTTTAGAACAACTGAAGAGAAGAACTTTAGAACAACTTGTTCAGGAAGTTTCAGCTGCCTTTTTTTTATA